ACATGGATTTGGAAGGATAATAAAAAATTCCCACCCCCCAAAAAACAGTTTTTTTAAACATTATGTTTACTATAATTACACGCTTATCTTTTTGACCAGCATACTCATTTTGGCTTTTAAATTCACAATGTATCTGCCATTGTAATCACCGATATGCATAAGGTGACTCTCACAAATCTCATCCAGTTTTATCGCTTCTTTTTTTCTTTTATCTGACTAGAATACATGACATTTCCAAGTTTGTCAGAACTGAAATATGTCAGTGGTTACAATAGCTGAAACATTATAAGTAGAACGACCAAGATGAACTTGATGATCGCTAACTATTGTTCATTTTTCTTTATATGTTTTGATATAATCCCAGATACTAGCTTCATTGTTTTCTGTTGCAGTTGATGGCTCATGTTCTTGATATTTGTCTTTGACTTCCATGTTATAGTGCCTTTACTTTTAAACATTTCACCCCAAGCAAGATGATAAAAAAAGACAGAACATAATGAATAACATTGCATTTAAGTTTTTGAAGATCATAGTTGACAGGAAAGCAAGCCACTGGTGGAGAATTCCACAGCTGAGAAATACAAGAGAATAACGACTAGAAAGAGTTTCATCTAACAATTTCAACTGTAAAATGATGTGGCCTAGCTACCAATATAAGTTTAAATTTCATGAAGTCAAAATAACAAAGAGTATTGCTATGAAAATATGCATAGAAAAGCAAAATTACATTAAAACAATCAAAAGGCATTTAAGCTGAGCTACCAGATTGGGATGGATAACATTGCAGATTCATTTTTTTGATTTTATCAATAATCTCTATATACAAAGAATCCCCAGACCAGATGTGGCAAAATTCAATACACAGATGAATGGTAGATTTATAAAGGTGCAAGGTAGATTCTGATGAAAAAAATTGTTTAGAAAACCAATTTTTCTAGCATCAAACTGTCAGATTACAGATTTTCCAATAGAGGTATACCGTGGTTTTATTTTTCCTTCATATGCATTCTGTTTTGGATAATTCTGAGCACTCAGAGACTAGAAGGTTCTATTGATTCTTGTTTGTTGCATATCTTATACATTTTGTTGGAATTGTCTTGTTTCAGTGGTCATACATTTATCTTGAGCAGCAATAATTCCTAGAATTTAGGGCAGCTGTTCTTAGCCATTTGTTTGTTTGGGCTTGATCTGCATTTTTATCACTGACTTGTTTCAGATACTGCTCATGTAGAGCATTTTCTTTCCCCATTTACTTTTTAACTCTTCCTGGGCTTGATGTTTGGCCTACAGTTTTGATCTTTAGTTGTCAGCTCATTTTTCTATTGTTGGCATATTGCGTTCTCTCTTGAATTTTGCTGCTTCATGGCACACTGTTGATGTTTTTTTTTTTTATTCTTTCTTCTTCTCTTCCAAGTTTTCTTTCTATTTTTTTCTAATTCATATTGTCTTTCATTTTTTATTCCTCTTTTTTTTTCAGCTTTATTTTTCTTGATTTACTTCTTTTCTGTGCTGGTGCGTGCTGTGGTGTACTGGATGACGCCTCAGAATGAGAAGTCAAGAGAGTCGTGTTGAAAGTCCAGTTGGGTTCACTTACAGACAAATACCCTTTTTGAAAGATATGAATTGATAACTTCTCCCCACAGCTATGGATTGAATAGCAGGACAAACTGGGTTCTATAGACTTGGTTGGCAACCAGTCTCCCACAGAAAGAAATGGCAACCTACCATGGAAAAGCTTTCTACCCAGTCAGTCATGAATTGAAAGAAACATGATCATTTATGCGTGTATCATGTATGGCACTTAACTGATTGAATGATTAGTATTAAAAAAACTTTATTGAAAAGTAGTAAAATGTGCACATCGTAAACATTAGGTCAAATTTCAGAATATTATTATTTTATGTATTATATTGTAAGCTACTAAAATGTGCATATTTTAAATATGGCAGGGTCAAATAAAAAGGTCTTGAAATATTTTTATAACAACAAAATGAATTGGATAGAATTGTAGGAAGTAGAAATCATTTTAATGGAGAGTAATATCTTTTATAACCAATTTTTTTTTCTTGTATGATGGCTTTTCAATGTATTTAAATTTTAGACTTTCCTCTTTAGCAATTCAATTATTTGTATATCCCCTCACTTGGAAAACTTTTTAAAAATCTTATTCATTTTTTAACCTATTCAAGGCTGAGCCAACTCTCTTCTAATACCAACCATATTTATCTCAGTTTGCACCTTGCCCTGACCCCACACCTACCCCCCTGCAAAAGTTGATAACAAATTTCTACTTATTCTTGGAGGCTATTCTTATTCAAACATTTTTTTCTATTTTTGCTTCATTATCTTCTCTTCAAGGAGGAAATGAAGTTCCGACTTTCTATTGTTGACGCAATTGGATTTTTCTTTTATCTTTTTTGTCTTAAAGAGTTTTTTTTTTCGTTTTTTCCGGCTGCTTCTGTTCTTCATAGACTCCTGTTTTCTTTCTTCTTGCTTTTTCTTACTGTGTCATTTCTTTCTTTCATTTTCAGTTCATTCTTTTTTTTAGGTCAATATTTTTTTCCTTTGTCATAAGCCCTTATTTCACATTCATTCATACATTGTCAATAACGTTTCTTTCATATTCTTTCTTTCTTTGACATTACTCCTTATTTACTTATTTATCATTAATCTTTCTCTCATATTCTATATTTTTCATTAATCTTTTTTTACATTTATTCATAATTATTTGTCATCAAATGTTCTTGACCTGGCATCTTGGCTTCAGTCTCTTTCCCTTTGCTTTTTCATGGTAATTGTTCTGATGAGCTTTCTTTTACAGTACCTAAACTTAAAGAATTTAAGCTCAGTACTATATTGGCAGGAAAGTCTTGTCATTCTTTTCCAGTTCTTTTTTGTTTGTCCCTTTTCTCATTCCTTCTTTCTTTCTTTCTTTCTTTCTTTCTTTCTTTCTTTCTTTCTCTTCTCTCCCTTTTCTCATTCTTTCTTGTTTGTCCCTTTTATCATTCCTTCTTTCTTTCTTATCTGTTCCTTTTTTCATTCCTTCTTTCTGATCTGTCTCTTTTCCCATTCTTTCCTTTCTGTCCCTTTTCTCATTCCTTCTTTCTTTCTTTTTTTCTTTCTTTCTCATCTCTCCTTTTTCTAATTCTTTCTTGTTTGTCCCTTTTCTCATTCCTTCTTTCTTTCTTATCTGTTCCTTTTTTCATTCCTTCTTTCTTTCTTAACTGTCCCATTTCCCATTCTTTCTTATCTGTCCTTTTCTCATTACTTCATCCTTTCTTATTCTTTCTTTCTTTCTTTCTTTCTTTCTTTCTTTCTCTCCCTTTTCTCATTCTTTCTTGTTTGTCCCTTTTATCATTCCTTCTTTATTTCTTATCTGTCCCTTTCCCATTCCTTCCTTTCTGTCCCTTTTCTCATTTCTTTCTTTCTTTCTTTCTTTCTTTCTTTCTTTCTTTCTTTCTTTCTGTCCCTTTTCCCATTCTTTCCTTTCTGTCCTTTTTCTCATTCTTTCCTTTCTGTCCCCTTTTGTCATTCTTTCTTAGCTGGCCCTTTTCTCATTTCTTCTTTCTTTCTTCTGTCCCTTTTCTCATTCTTTCTTTCTTATGTCCCTTTTCCTATTCTTTCCTTTCTGTCCCTTTTCTCATTCTTTTTCTTCTGTCCCTTTTCACATTCTTTCTTTCTTTCTTTCTTTCTTTCTTTCTTTTTTTTCTGTCGCTTTTCTCATTCCTTTTTCATTCTTTCACTTTGCTTTATACTTTACATTTTTTTCTTATTTGTATAATTTCTTTTTTTTTTCCAACTTTATCTATGTAATTTTATTTCTTTCCTCTTCAGATACAGCATAATTTATTACATCTTAACTCATCCGTTCTTGCATTCAAGCTTCTCATTGCCAAAATGCAATCCAACCTTATCAAGACTGCCTGATTAAGCAAAACGTGGCTGATACAGAAAATTCAGTTCATATTAAATGAGGTATTTCAAACAAGGAACACGGACTCCAACATTTCTTTTACAATGATTTATATTTAAATGTAAAAAATTATAGAAATTCTACCATCCAGTTAAGATCACTAAAAAATAAAAGAAAATAAATAAATAAAGATTAAAGTTCTTTGCACAAAATATACGCAAACGGAAACAGACTTGATTTTCTTTATAAATGCAAATAAAAATGACTAGGTCAGAAATAAAGAATTTATTATAAACAATTTTTTGTTCCTCTACCCTTACAGTTCTTTCTGCTTGTATAATGAAACATTTTATTCTATTGAGAAGAAGGGGACGGTTGACGCCAACAGACACTTGTTAGGATAGCTGCCTGTCTTGGGAGATGGAGGTGGGCAAAGTTTTTTCAGAACAAGGGATTGTTAAAGTGTTTTATTTTATTTTTAAATTAAGGCATGATAAACACCAAACAAAACGTATTAAAGAAGGAATATATAAATAAAACAAATTAAGAAAAAAGAAAAAACAAGGAAGAACAATGAGTTTTCTTTGTTATTTTGCTGAGCAACTCAATAGTTTAGCTTGTTCAACTGAAGACAATGCAGTTTGCTGTCTCATTGTTTTGAATTTTGTTTCTTGTTGAATGAGTGGGTAGAGAAAAAAAGTTGAGGTGCATCAGAAACATTGTTCACTGAATACAACAAGGTAAAAAAAGAAGAAAAAAAAAAGAGATGGTAAAGGGAACTAAACAGGAACAGATACATAGAATGGTAACCAGACATATGACCAGATCAATAGATACATGGAAATTTAAGTAAAATTAGATAGAGAGGGATGAACAGAATGAGACAGATAGTCAGTTATAGCACTACAGATTTTAAAAGCAGTTTAATGGATCATGTCTGCGATTCTACAGTGTAACATCCTCTGAACTGTTTTTGGTTGTGGCGCCAGGGCAGCAAAGCTGTCTAGCTTGTAAATTAGTTTCAGTTATAGTAATTTTTTGAGTCCAAACACCAACGATAGACACGAGGAGAATGACAGCAATTCTCTCAGTAAAATAAAAAAGATAGATTGATAAGGAACAGACTGAGATAGATAGATAGATAGATAGATAGATAGATAGATAGATAGATAGATATGAACATAATGAGATAGATTGATAATGAACAGACTGAATTAGACTGCAGACAGACATACATGGACAGAGATAGATAGATAGATAGATAGATAGATAGATAGATAGATAGATAGATATGATATAATGAGATAGATTGATAATGAACAGACTGAATTAGACAGCAGACAGAAATACATGGACAGAGATAGATAGATAGATAGATAGATAGATAGATAGATAGATAGATAGATAGATATGAACATAATGAGATAGATTGATAATGAACAGACTGAATTAGACAGCAGACAGAAATACATGGACAGAGATAGATAGATAGATAGATAGATAGATAGATAGATAGATAGATAGATAGATAGATAGATATGTATTGACTGACAGATCAGAGAGAGAAGGAGAATCAACAGACTGAAGTGGATAGAGTGAGATAGAGCATCAAATCAACAGTGACAGAGAAGCATATAAGTATGAATAGACACAGATTAGAGTGGATGAACAGATGGATAGATATAAATAGATTGAAACAGATGGATTGGAACAGATAAAGATAGATTACAATAGAGAGATAGACAGAACAATCTGAATAGACTGACAGAGATTAGAGACTGAAGTAGCGGGATAGATATGAATTAACAGAGAGAGATAAATACACAAGATTAGACCGACCCAGACAGCTGAACTCTCCCGTCGTATTTGATTGTATGAGGGTCAAGCATCCCAGTTCCTAGGAACCGACAGCCCAGACACCAGCATAATGATGAAGGTTTTGTGCAGAACCAACCACACTTTTTGAAGGCCCAAATGCAGAGACCTGGTTCACTACGTGCCACAAGGACCCCAAACGACCCTCTGCAGGTTTTGTATTCAGAGTTGTCCTTCTTCTAGGCCAGTTGCCATGTCCAAGGCTATAGAACTCAGTCTGTCTTGGTGTTTACCCATAAGAGGATAAATGCCTTTCCCAAGGGTATTAGCACGTTAGTAAATGTAATGGATTCGACTAGGATTCGAGCTCGCCTCTCCGATTCCTCAATCTGAGCCGCTCCACCGTGCCTTCTCATCCTTATCCCTACTACTAGTGTCAGTTGTAGGAACATAGAGAGACATAGAGAGCATGAAAATGATAAGGGAAAGGAAAAAGCTGATTGAGAATCGGAAAAAGCTTGAATGAATTAGAGTGAAAAAAGCGGCTTCAGTGAGCTGTACGATAGAATCTTTAGGATATGTAACCCAGAATACTTAAATGAAGAAAGGAAATATATAAAGAAAGCATTCAGACTTCTTCATTATCCACACCATTTCATCCTTAATGCTAAAAACATGACACCATTAATAAAGGTTCTTACAAAAATTACACAAATTTCATAATCCTACTCCCCAGCACGCTTTCTCCTAAACTCGAAAATAAATTAGGCATTCCTAATGGTGGATTCTTTCGTCGTATTCGACGTATGAGGGTCAAGAAGCTCAGTTCTTAGGAACCGACAGCCAGACACCGTGGTGAAGGCTTTATGCAGAACCAACCACACGTCTTGAAGGGCCGAATACAGAGACCTGGTTTCCTACGTGCCACAAAGTCTCCAAACGACCCTCTGCAGGTTTTGAATTCAGAGTTGTCCTTCTTGGCCAGTTGCCATATCCAAGGCTATAGAACCCAGAACTGTCCTGCTGTTTACACATAGCTGGATGGAGAAGAAGAGGATTAAAAAATTATTAAAAAGAAATTTCTAATTTTCTTTTCTTCAGTTGTTCAAAATGTTCTCCCACGTTTTTAAGAGCTTCATCTGTTTTTCTTTTGACACTCTGCGAATTCTTACATGTATGCGTATTTATAGATATGGCGAAAGTGTAATGGATTTTGTTCTATTCTAATCAGTAGATGTGAAGTTATGTGTCAGTAGGCCTGCTTGCAGAAAAGATTTTTAATTTCTGATGTTTATATATTTGTGTAAAGGTGTGTGTGTGTATGCTTGTCAATATTTTCCTGTTTTTTTTCTAAGTGCATGTGCAGATTATGTATGAGTGAGTGTGTGTATAATTATTTTTATTCCGAAGGTTTACTAAGAAAAAAATTTATTTAAAAAAATACTTAGTTCTGTACTTGCTTGATTTGGATGTCTTGAATTTGTCGCTCAAATCTGGAGGCATCACACTTGCTGACGACCATGCTGTCTGTTTTTTAAGTAATTCAGCAAATATCGAAATAAACGGGGAAAGAGGGGGGTGCTAGATACAAATGGCATGACTGAAACGAGAATAGCCCAAAGTGATAAATTAGTGCAGATGGAATTTTGCATGGGAGAATTTCACTGAATTACTAATGACTAAAATTCAGAGAATTGGACTGATCAAATTGAATGCGTTCATTATGGATAGAGGCTTTCATTTAGAACTAATCATTCTGTTCTACCTACCATTACACCCACTTCTATCGACATCAGTTTTATTTTTTTTTTTTTTTTTTTGCTGACTGGATATTTTTTCTGGATAATCAAGGGCAAATGCCACTGAACATAAAACAAAGTAGAATGATCAAGTGATTTAAGCTTGATAATAGAGGTAACAGCTATTCTGCACCACATAACGGAAACATGATTAAGAAAAAACTTGCTTCAGTGTGCACAATTATATCAAGGTATGCCTGTAATATAAGCATTAATCCTGACTACAGTTTTAGAGCAGATATGATAGATAAAGAAAAATCGGTAAAGGTGTGTGTTTAAAAGCAGTAATTCTTGCTTTGCTGACCCAGAATTCCACTGTGGCTGAATGGTCATAGCACGTCAGGCTTAATGACAGTTCCGTATAGGATACAGATTCAATTCTTGCCATAAAACATATTTTCTACAAAATTTCTTCAACATTCATGTAATTAATACTGTTTAATAATAAAAAACAAAGCATTTACTCAAATAAGCGTATCCATATAAACGTATAAACAAAAAATATATTAATATATATATATATATATATATATATATATATATATATATATATATATAAATTCAGTGACATCAGTTATCTTGTCTTTTTAATTCCTGTTCTTTTTTGTCCTCTCTTCTTAATAATTTTTTTTTATATTCTCTCACACCCAGTACCCCCACACACACACACACACTTTGAATCTTAGTGGCTTTATTGCCTTGCTTGGGGTGAAATTATTAAAAAAATATAGAGCTAATCACACTCAGCGATAGATGCATACCGTCAACATTTAAGAGATATTTAATTAATTTTTATATAGTTTCTCTTGTTTTTATATAAAGGAATAGATAGATAGATAGATAGATAGATAGATAGATAGATAGATAGATAGATAGATAGATAGATAGATAGATAGAGCTAATCATACTCAGATATACAACAACTGAAACAAATGAATAGACATAGTAATGTGAGATGGCCAAATAAATGTAATCAATGCATGATTTTTTAAAAATAAATATTTTTAGTAAAGCTTTTAGGCAAAGGTCATTCGGTGCTTTGCTTTCAACAGGATTTAAATATTGTCGATTGTCAGCGTACCCCACATGCCAGCACACACACACACACACTGAAAAATTAGCCCATTTTTTTTAAGGGAGCAGAAGAAAAAAAGTTTCACTCGACACATATACATCATGGTTTGTTTGTTACCGTTTTTCTAAACTCCTTTTAATTTGATCTTTCTTCTGCCTTTTTTTTTTTTTTTGCAATTAAATTTTTATTTTATTTATTTTCTGATCGATTTTTATACATCTTTTTTTTTTCTTTATTCGTTTCTACTCTGTACACACCTCACACGTCGTTTTATTTTTTAGACATTCCTGCAAACCTAGTCTCAATGTTAAATGTGAAAGGTTAAAAAGATGCCCTGTATAGTAACATTTCCTTCTACCTAAAAGGAAGGCCAGTTCAGCTGGGTGCAAGGATGAGGAGGTTGATGTGGAAACAATCCGAGTGGCCGGTAGGTAAATTTGAATTGAGGGTCTGGGAGTTAAACAGAATGACGATCAATTTGAACAAGGGGAAGTACCCACACTAATTACTTTTCAAAAAAATAAAAAATAAAAATATAAAAATAAAAAAGCAAAAGCCAGACATCGCCTGCTCATACTTTATAAGCCTTGGAGACGTCTCCATGGATCCTATTCCAAAATTAACTCTTAGCTTCTTTCTTTCATTTTTTTCATTTTTTTTCTTCTTATAGTTTTATTTCCGTTTTATGAATACCAGACTGACCACAACGATGAAGATATTTTTCCACTTTGAAAGGTTTTGAGTTTAAGTTTAACATAAGAAATACGATGCATAATAAAAGATGCAGAGACTCAAATGAAAACGGGTGTGTGAAGGGTGACGAATTCTGTCAAGTGCTAACAGTTTGTTCTCTCGCACTTCTTGCTTGTGAAACTCTCTCCCGGCTTCTTACTTCCCAGTTAACTTTGATCTTTAAAAATTTAAAGGCAATGTCAATCGTTATCTACCGTCTTCTTAATTCTTGTTCCTTTAAAATGTTCTCTATCTCTTTAATAATCTTTTTTTTTTTCTAATATCCTCTAGCACTCGGTAACACCCTTGCGTCTTAGTGGCTATATTGCCTTGCTTGGGGTAAAATGATATAGAAAAATCATAAACCAACAAAACGCCATATTAAATTGGTGCAAGTTGTGGGGATTACCATCACTGTCTACCAAAACACCCGCTAGATGGCACTGCTCAGAACTATGAACAGAGTTTAGTAGCATTTATACGGCCTTATAAGTGATGAATTATTTTCCAGCCTTCAATCTCTTCCTCCACAGACGAAATATTACTCGCCTCTTGATATTCTTATTTTCATAGCAAATGTTCAGACGAGCTTCCACCAATTCAGACCATAACATCTAGGACCCACCACACCACGTCCACAGTCGGCTCACCCACATCCACTCCATATTTCACTAGTAAGGAGAAAGTTTCACTCAGAGCTTCTCCCACAGAACTGTTACTTTGTTGAATAGATTCCCTAAGGAATGCTTCCTCAATCACGACAGTCGTAACCTCTAGGTTCAACCGTTAGCTGTCCTACATATCCCCATGATAGGCACTTTTTATCTCCACCTTGCACCCTTACAACAAACACGTTCAGTAACTCTCTATATTTAACTTGTTACTGAAACTGATGTTGGTTATGTTACTTGTTCTTTATTTGTGATTCTGTAGCGCCAGTTTACAATGTTCGAAGAAGTGTGGTCATCAAGATCCATAGGCTTGCCTCGCTTAAAGCGATTGTATACATCTGACAGTTTAGATATTTCTGAACGGTTTGGGTGCCATGAATGACATCTATATAAAACCCTTTGGGGATATTTATAAATTTGTATCAATTTGCGGTGTTAATCGAAATTACCTCTAGTGCAGTCTATCCTATCTTCAATTTCATTTTCTCCTAAGGAAAGTAAAGATCGAATAGGCCGCGTAAGAGGTAGTTTTGCCTCACACCGCAAATACTTCGAAAAACCGTGGTTGAAATGTGCGTTTCTCATTAGCTATTTTTTTATAAATAAGAATGCATCTCAGAAATACTTACATATTGTCTATATTTCTGAAATGAGGTATTATGTATACTATTTACATTGTTCGGGCTATCATCCTCATCTTTGTTGCCATATTAATCACGTTTCGGTCGTTATACACCCTAGCCTTCTTCAGGTGGTTGGAATGTCGAACTGAACCCTTTATTTTGCTCGCTGGAGTAGACTGTTTTAGTTCCACGTGCCATGTCTAATGGATGTCAGTTATCAGTTATCTCCTGTTAAATAGTGTACTTACATTTTTTCTAGAATTTTCTGATGCTCGTGAGACAAAGACAGAGATAGATAAATAAAACAGGTTTGTGTGTTTTTCAAATTTAAGATAAAATAAAAAGAAACAACTTTTTGTTTTAAATTTAAAAACTGCTTTGTTTTTTTTTTAATTGAAGATTCTCCAGAGTAATGTTATCCTTTCACGCCTACTTAAAAAAAAAAAAAAAGAGAGAGATGTCTTCGTTTATCAGTGTACCTAAGTTCTGAGGCAACGCATTATAACCAGTGGCTCAATATCTGCGCCTTAGTTACATTGATAAAAACAAACCTTTAAAGACAATCTGACGT